CTGTTGGACATCAGACCGCCATTGTTGTCCCACCAGGTGTTGAGCCAGTCGCCCGTTTTGTACGTATCCCAATCGGAGGTTTGTTGGTTATAGTATTTGGAGACAGCACCACAGCGTCTGTAGATGCCGCTCGGGTGGTGGATGGGCTGGTGGTTTGAGGGTGCTGCTTGGACGGCTGGGAGGAGGGCAACAGCCGTCAAGGCTAGAGAGGGAAGCATCTTTCGTGCTTTGATGATAGATAGCCAGGATGAAGTACAAAGTGGAATAGAAGAGCCCACCTCTTATAGAGATTGCTATCCCAGTCCTGAAGCAAATGAATTTCATGATCTCCCGTCACATCCGGATATAGTCCAACATTGATACAACTGAAGGAATCCTTCAGTCAGCCCTAGTGAAGTCTCTCCCTGCAGATGACCCACTGGAAAGTCCAGGGCGAGGGACATCGGAACAAGCACCGCCATCGGGCCGCTGTTGCAAGTCAACCATTGGAGCCTGTGTCTTGACAGGCTGTAAGCACATATGCCACATCGGGGTGATCGCCAGGGACTCGGCGCCGTTTGAGTATAGTGGCGGATCTGGTCGTGGGGGCCGTCATGACATTGGAGACTGACGATCTTGAGACAGCCCCCACATTACCTTTTTGGGAAATTGGTAAACGTAGTTGTTGAGTTTTGTTCAGGGGGAGTTGGAGTAGAAGCAGGGATGCTGCATTGTTTCATGTTTGCTGTGGGGATGAAACCTTGGAGGATATTGCGAGGTTTATAAGGTAGACATATAATCGAAATATCGGAAACTAGATACGAGCCTGAGATGATATCACAGTGCGTTGGCATACGTGGATTTCGAGGCTTGAGCATCTGGCAAACTATATAGCCCAAACATTCATACTTCCGGTATTGATCAGCCTGCAGGGCACTACTGGCTAGCCTCGCATATCGAGAATGCCATTGGCACCGTGCCGAGCTGCTTGTTGCATTAGTACGTGTCCGCTTTTACAGCTATGAAGTATCCTAGCAGAAAACAGCGGAAAAGCCATGATCCAAGAGAAAATGCATAGTATTAACGGCAAAGACATTCTAACCAGTCTAAAGCCCGAGTTTAACTGTATCTAACTGTATCTAATATGTATCACACAGTCTAGTAAAAAAGAACAATAACACAAGGGAGAAAATGTACCCGAAAATCAATCAAGACCACGGCCAAATGATAAAACAGTGCTCGTCTCAGGCATAAACAAGGCCAAATGTGCAAATCCAAGAAAAACTCCCAAGCATAGTCCCCTAATAGATGATGAATGCAAGTCTGAGTGGAGAGAGAAGACGAAACGTGGCATCAGAGATGAACCACAACAAACGCAGATCTAGAGAAATGAAAAATAAAAAGATCATCAAGTCATAAGTCCGATCCGACAGCAGCACCAAAGCATCCATTCAATCAAGCCCGATTCTCAACGCGCTTCATCAAATAATCCCTCAATCTGACATTGGCCACACCACCAATACCATAAGCAGGGACAATCTTGCCCATACGGGCAAAGCAGGCGGGTACATAATCCCGACGAATGCGTGCCACACGATCCGTCCAGGGTAGACCACCAGCAGGCTGACGGTTAAACAAATCCAAGCCGAGGAGATGCATGGGCGTACTCGCGAACTGCATGAGAGCCGGACAAGAGAACTGCGCGAGGGTAGATTTCATGCCTGGCGTTGAGGCGACGAAATCCGGTATTGAGGGTGCGATGAGGGCTGGAATGTTGAATGATGCGAAGATTGTGATGCTGTCGCGGAGGCAGAAAAGGGTGTAGGAAGATTTGGGGATTGTTAACGTCGAGCCGGGGGCTGCGTGCGGATGGCATGTTGATGGAGGTGCTGGGGCCTGTGCTGGAGCTGGGGCGCGTAGAGTGGAGGGTGGTTGTTGAGGTTGGCCTGTTGCAGTGGTTGTTGGTTGGGATGGGGAAGGAGAGGCGCCGAAGATTTTGGCGAAGCGCGCGTCTTTGTAGACGCAGATTGCCATGTTGACTGTTGTCGTTGCGATGAATTTGAGGGGGCCCGGTGTTACGGTGTCGTAGGACTGGTTGCGCATCGTGGAGGTGAGTGTATCGATTGCATTTGCCGTGAGGTAGGTCGAGCTGTACAGGGTATAGATGAGGAGGAATGGAGTGCTGAGAAAGAATCCGCTTGGTCGGGAGACCATGGACTTGAGGCAGTTTGTTATTGTTTGCTGGATAGGGAAGCCCTTTGATGCTTTCTCGATTATTGCACTGTCCAGCAGGTTAGCGTCTTGAAAAGCTTCTCTGTAACTTCTGAGCTTACCGGTCAATGATCGTGATCAACGGACAGGTCAGCGCGCCTGCAGTTGCTGCGCTGGCGACATCGACACCGAGTCGCTTGCCCAGGTCTTTCGTGTTCCATGCTGCTGTAGAGCGCGCAATTGGGCTTTGTTTTACTGTCGACATATTGAATGGATCTGCGGTTGCATCCCGAGTCATACTCTTATGGGGATTATAATCGGGTGCAAGTGTATGGGTGAGAGTGCATCACAATGCGTAGGTACTGTACAAACAAACCCTGGGGAAGAACAAATTAGGGAAAAAGAATTACAAATGCAAGATGAGGACTATCGCGACCCCAGCTTCGGACGAGAATGACCCGGGCGCGACCCGGCGCCGGGTCTCCGATGCCGGCCCGAGATCTACTCTCCGGATAAATGCAAGTCCAGAAATGTTCATTATAGCTAACATGTTTTAAATCCCCAACGCCGGATATTCACCTCTAGCGAGCTTCGATTCCTTCCATAGTAACATTGACAGCACCGGCTTGCACCAACTGTGAAAATAATTAGTTTCCAAAACACCAAAATGGGGGAATGTACGGGAATCATACCGCTCGGCTCAAGTCGTCAATCAAGTCGTCCACATCCTCAATTCCTACACAGAGACGAATCAAGTCCTCTGGCATGGCGCGTTCCGCCCGCGTCTTCGCGTCAATGCTGGCATGGCTCATACGGCAGGGCATACTGATCAAACTGTTGACACAGCCAAAGCTGACACTGATGGCCCAAAGCTTGGCGCTCTCGACAATGCGCTCACTGATAACGGTGTCACCGGTCTCGAACGAGAGCACAGCACCGGCGCCCCGCGCCATGGAATTGTGAAGTTCGTACTGCGGGTGCGACCGCAGACCGGGGTAGCGGACCTTGAAGCCGTTCGACTCAAGGAACTCGGCAATGCGCTGAGCGTTGCTCTGTTGCTGGTCCATGCGGACCTTAAGGGTCTTCACACCACGCAGCAACAGCCAAGAGTCGAAAGGCGACAGACCGCATCCCGAGGCGTTGATAGGGAAGTAAAGACGTTCGCCGAGAGCCAGGTCGTTGACGGCAATGACACCGGCCATCAGGTCGTGGTGACCCGACAGGTACTTGGTGCCACTCTCGTAAACGACATCGGCACCGAAGTCCAGAGGGTTGAGCAGGAGCGGAGACATCATAGTGTTATCCACTGAGACAATGCAGTTGGGATTGGCTTCGTGGGCAGCGGTGGCAATGCGGCCAATGTCAACGATCTTGATAAGGGGGTTGGTAGGGGTCTCGAGCAGCACCATAGTGGTCTTCTCGCTCAGTACTGCCTGGACCTTCTCAGGCTGTGTGGTGTCGACGTGGTGCACGATGATGCCGCCGTTGGTCGAGAGGTACTTGAGGAGTCGGTTGGTACCGCCGTAGAGGTCATCACCGGTGACGACCTCGTCACCAGGACGGAGGAGTCGGGTGATCACATCCAAAGCAGCCATACCGGATGAGACTACGAGGGCACGCTGTGCCGACATGATCTTGGCCAAGTGTCGCTCGAGGTGTGTGCGGGTCGGGTTGCCAGACCGTGTGTAGTCATACTCTCCACCACCACCGCCGGAGGTTTGCTTGAAAGTAGCACTCTATAAGTTAATCATGGTCAGCATTAAGATATCATTGAAATTGCCATTGGGTTGTTGTGGAATGTGTACCTGGTAGATCGGCACGCTGCTGGCATTGTATTGGTCACTGCCCTCGGTGAAGACCAATTCGGTGGCAATGTTGTAGCGGCGACCAGGGTGAGGGCTGGACGGGGCTGGTGAAGGTGGCAGGTCATTTCCCGCGAGATCAACAGGAGGGAAAGTCTTCTTTCCAGTGCTGGTCGACCCCGACGCAGCATTGGGAACTCCGGATCTTGAGGCCGACATCGCTGCAGAGCGGGGCAGAAAGAGGGAGCGAATAGAGGGTGATATTGAGGGTATGCTAATGCACAGTAATACTTGAAATGCAAGTCGAAGAGTGGAAGTTAATAGATCAATGGGAGAATCAAAATAAAGAAGAGAAGAAAAAGAAGTCACACATAATTCACGTCTTTCTCCCCCGGACTGGACTGACTCTTTCGGCCGCGCTGTGATTGGTCGAGAGGCCAGGATTGCGATTTCGTCATTCACTAGTCCCGATTTGGGCGGTCTGGGGTGAGTCAGGCATTCTCGACGCCTAAGTTATTTACCGAGATAGATAGATATATAGCTTTATATTGGTAGATGTATGTCATATAGATAGGTAGGTGTATATTACATATTGATATGCAAGTTAGATAGATATCAAGTGCATTTAGTTGAGGGATCCGATCTATAGGTTACATCCCACGCCCTAAACTTGGTAAACAAGCTTTTTATGTCTTTATACTAGTCCTTTCGTGTGTTCACTCTACCATGAACAAGCTACCAGGTCTATATTGAGAGACTTAGTAGGGCAATCCCTTCATAATAACCGCTGTGGTCAAGTCATCGACTTGGCAACCCGGAGGAGACTAAGTTACCGCTCTGGAATTCCATCTTATTCTCATCATTCCACCTTATTTATCCTAATCCCAAAAGGCTTAAAGAAATCCACACCCCTTTACATAACCTATGGAGTCTGCTACTTTTCCAAGACATACACTTTTACTTTTGCCATGATAACCGGAACACGTTCATCTCACCGCTAAGAACAAAATGACGTCGGAATCGGAAGCAGCATTTGCCTACCACGAGCCATCCATCGAAACAGTTTTGAATTACACCGGGCTACTATTGATCCTCAATATAGCCAATACCTGCCTCGACAAACTCCTGTACTGTGGGCTCATCGGCCAGCTCTTCATTGGCATCATTTGGGGTACACCAGGAGCACAATGGCTTGACCAAGAGACAGAACGCGTCATTCAGCAAATTGGCTATCTAGGGTTGATATTACTAATTTATGAAGGTACATATACACCAATTTGCTTATAACAACATACAATCTAACATACACAGGTGGTCTATCAACCTCGATCGAGTCCCTCAAGGCAAACATTCTTCTTTCAACAGCCGTTGCCCTCACTGGAATTGGTGTACCAATGGTGTTATCCTTCATTCTCAAAGAGCTTGTATCCGCAACATCGCTCCAAGCATTCGCTGCTGGCGCAGCGCTAAGCGCAACAAGTCTTGGAACTACCTTTACCATCCTTTCAACCACTCAACTAACGACTACACGCCTTGGAACGGTCACCACAAGTGCTGCAATGATCGATGATGTCGTTAGCTTAGTTATGGTCCAGATTATCTCCAACCTTGGCGGAAGCGCGGCGTCGTTCAGCGCTGTGACTGTCATCCGGCCCGTTTTTGTTTCCCTCGGGTTTGCTGTTGGTCTCTTACTACTGTGTGCTTTCTGTCTCCGACCTGTATTAAAGAAAGTGGTTGACCACAAGAGCAAGCTCCCTGATTATGTGGGAACTGCACAATTTGCATTCCTCGCGCACATATGTGTTCTCGTGGGCATTGTGGCCGGCGCGACATATGCTGGTACCTCGAGTCTTTTTGCTGCTTACCTTGCCGGAGTGATTGTCTCCTGGTTTGATGGATTGGTGACTCAATCGAAGCCTTCGGTGGTTGCTTCACAGCCTGAAACGTTTCATTTAGCTACTGCTTCACCCCTCGAGCAGACTTGCAGTCATCAAGATGCTACACGCGATGCCGTAAATCAGCTGTCTCAAACTACAGAGCCATCTGGTACACAAGCTACACAAGAAAATGACCCATCGCATGACGGTACACCGACAGGTGAATTTATCTACAACAAGTATTACAAAGAACCAACCAATCGTATCCTCTTACCTCTGTTCTTCGTGAGCCCCCTGTCCCCTTCAACTGGGAGAAATAACTAATCCACATAGGCGTCAATTGGATTCGCAATCCCCATAACCAAAATGTTTCAAGGCCAAATCGTATGGCGAGGAATAATCTACGCTATCCTAATGGCAATTGGGAAAATGATCACAGCTCTATGGCTCGTGCGCTTCTCCACGAATCCTTTGACAAGTCTGGTATCGATCCTCAAGAGACCATTTGCATACGCCCAATCCTGCTGTTCCAAACCCCAAGCTACGAGCAAGCCTTCAGAGCGAGAGAAGAACAGCTCAAAGAAGACAGAGGGTCGAAATAGGACTGAGACCGGTGGAATCTCGAGTCCAGACGATTCCAATCAAGCCGAGCCCCGAACGACGAATGAACCATCTGCAACCAATCCCAATCCCAATCTCAAGTCCAGGTCTCACATGTCTCTTCCACCTAAACCCAAATCTCTATATCCACCATTCATCCTCGGATTGGCAATGGTCGCCAGAGGCGAAGTGGGTTATCTCATCGCCTCCATTGCGGAAAGCCAAGGGATATTCTCCTCTGGATCGTCGTCTGAAGGCTCATCCGATATCTACCTGGTAGTCATATGGGCAATTTCACTCTGCACACTAATCGGCCCCATACTGGTCGGAACACTGGTCAGACGGGTAAAGAAACTACAGCAATCCAGGAAAGACTCAGGCTCAGGCCCTGATCCATTGGGTATATGGGGTATCTAGCTATCCGTGTACATATTTTAGTTAATCATTTTATATACGGAATACGTAGACATAAAAATTAGGGCCGTACATCCCAGTTAATTGCACCCTATATATGCGCAGGTTCATTACCATATACACATTCCCAGAAAGGAAACTATCAATATGTTAGAGGGGAGCTCAATTACAGATCTTATGCAAACAACCCCCGCTTCCCCTAGAGGTCTGACCTTATCTTAAGAGAAAAGCAATTGAAATTGAAAATGTATATACTCCTACTCCTCCCAACTCCCTCTGGATTCCAGTCCGTGAAGTTTTACCTAATGAGCAAACAAACAAAAATGTAGAAAAAGAACATAACCAAAAGAGATGAAAGGATAAGAGAACAAGTGACAAGAAAGAAGAAGAAGAAGGGGGAAAAAAATGAGAACAGCAACCAGCCTCCAAGGATATCCAAAGAAGATCAACCCCAGACATAGAACACAAAACACGACCCGGCCAATCAACCAATCCCACATCCAAAACGCCCAGCCAGAACCACCTCGTAATCCGTTTTGTTAAATCAGACGCAGATAGCAGGAAGGAAAGGTGCAAGAGATAGAGATAGAGTTAGAGATAGGGATAGGGATGATGGTATATACTAACATAGCATACCATAGCATACCATAGCATAGCAATTAGATTAGAGTGCGCAAAGTGGATTGGAAGTACATTATTCCAATCCGATAGTGAAGCCAAAACCCAAGCCGACATCCCAAGAAGGAAACCAAAAGTAAACGTCATGGATAATTCTCGAGCGTGGGGACATGATTACGCAGCCAAATCTCCAAAGCCACCGTTAATACCAAAGAACTGGAACCAGTCCTCGACATTCAGCGTGGTAGGCGCAGTAGGTCCACTGCGCGAACTGCTACTCCAGTTATCATCCTGACTGGCATTGTCCATGGCCGCACCGCTCATCGTTCCATCAAGGCCTTGCATCGGGGGCCATGTCTGCTGGCCTTCCATGCTGAACATTTGTTGCTGTGGGCCCGTGGGCTGCATGCCGACGGCGCCGGGGATGCCCTGCATCACCTGTGGGCTATCCTGGGAGACGGACATGCTGCGGCCGCCTGGAACGGGTTGGGGCTGGTTGTTCATCATTGGGCCTGGACGCTGGGACATGTTCGGGGGGAGGGTGGATGGGATTTGTAGGGATGGGTCGACAGAGCCAGGTGGCGGCGGGGAGGCCAGCTCTGGGAAGAAAGCTGTGCCGTCTGGGAAGAGTTGGTCAGGTTGGAAGTTCTCCCATAGGGAGGGGGAGAGGTTGGGCGAGGTGCGCGTTACTAGGAAGAAGTCGGGGGGTGTGGCAGGGAGGGAGAATTGGCCGTTGAAGGGAGTTGTTGGTCGGGTGTTGGCTCGGGAGTTGCCTGTGCCTGTCATTGGATCGTGGGGACCGCGGTGTGTGTTGGGTGATTGGTGGCCCAAAGTGGGTTGATTCAGCTCTCGGGATGGTGTGACGGCGGGTGTCTGGGGACGAGAGCGCTCGTACGAGACAGGAGGTGTAGGACCACCGTTTGGCAGTCCGAGGTCCATGTCGTCGAACTTGCGCTTCGGCGGGTCTGGCTTCTTCGAAGGGGCCGCGTTTTCGTGCCGGTTTCGCTGGTGTTTCCGGCCTGCAGCTTTCTGGAGTCGCTCCTCTAGAATCTTATTTCCGAGAATAGACTCAAAGAGCGTGTTGACCATCTTCGCCACCAGCCAAACCTTTGATACATCCTTTAGCGCCAGCATGCACGCATTGATTCTTTCCTGGCAGGTCGTCACAATTGAAGGAACTGACGAGCGCATTTGATATACGTGCATGATCAAGGCTGAAAACAGACTGTAAACGATGAATGCGGGGGCAAATCGAATCTCTCCGTGAGCGTGTAGGTTCTCGACAATTGAAGTGATCATGCCTGCCGCCTGGAATGCAATGGTTCGTGACGGGTAGGCCATTTCTTCAACCCTGTAACTATTCGGGGCAGACGAGGCAGGCGGCATGTGAGCCCTGTGAAGAAGGCACAGCGTGGTACTAAGATGGTTAGTTTCAGTTGAATGATCGGAGGGAAAATCACATACTAGTAGTTTGAATGCAAAAGTGCAGCCCAGAAATGATGTTTAGACCGTTGCCAGCACACTTCCTTGGGGCAGTTCTGCAGCCAATCGGCCAAGGCCATATCTGAGTGGGTGAGGTCCATTGCATTCATGCGCCGTGACTTCGAAGCCACAGAGTACTGCTGCGAGAGAACCAAGCCCATGATCTCGCACAGCTTGACATATTGAAGGAAAAAGTGAACATGGACGGGGTCTGGAGGAATATCGGCGGGAGCATCGAGCTCATCTTCAATGAAATCGTCTTCTGTCACCATTTCAACATCCGAGTCGTCTGTATTGATTCCGATTGGACGTCCCAATGCGACAGCCACAGAACGATCACGGGTGAAAAGAGTCCACCAAATCCTCTTCCAGAGTCTCTTGTCTGGTTTGCTGAGCTGTGACATTTCCACACTGCGGTGCATTCCAGAGCCCTGTGCTACTACCATCGCGACCCGAGTCCAATAGAAGACGTTCTTGGTGACATCTATAACTCATTAGAGACCGAAAGAAAGGCATATACTGGTCAACCACTCACCTTCAGGTCCTTCCCAGTACCAGCCCAATAGCACTAGTGCCTGCACGATGGTGACACGATCATCCTCATAGTTGGCATCATACAGCGCCTTAGCACGCTTGTAAAAAGTCATGGCAGCGGGGGTGGTCGACCCATTGGCATCCATCAGCTGCTGGTTGGTGCAGACTCTCGATCCTGCCAGCAGAATTGCCTGCAAGAGTAGCAACGAAGGCGGATTCTTAGGGTCCCGGTATTGACGCATGAAGCGACTCTTGTTGATAATGGGCACCACGGGTGCCACCCACTTGAAGTAAGCGTCGACCAACTCATCGCACAGCGGTTTGGGAGGGAGCAAGAAAGCACCTCGCTGGTGTAGAATGTCGATTTCCAAATTGTCCAAGTCCGTCAAGCGGGCACGGGATCCTCTGATATTCGGTGGGAGCGGGTAGTGCACGACATCCGTTGTTCCATGTCGATCTTGAACCAGCAGGGACAGATTTGACGACTCGCCCAGGTACGCCACCCGGCCAGCATCTTTAATCGGAGCACGGGCAAACTTGGGCTTCATAAATTGAGCATAGGCGTTATTGGCCGATGCTTGTTGGGCTGCCTCAGCCTCGGAAAGAGAGGTAACGGGCATGCCTTCGGCAGCCATGCGGTTTTTCCTGTATCCAAAAGCATCCTTCTCGTCCGAGTCGGAGCTCCGCTCCGCTTCCCGGGGTGCTGAGACAGATCCAGACACAGACACAGAGCGCGCCGGCTCCTCGGTGGGTCGAAACTGAGCAACGGCGGCATCGACGAGCGAGGAGGCAGTATGTGGGGGGCTGTCACCATACCGCGATTCATCCTTGCTCTTGGCTTGGCTCTTCTTTCGTTTCGGCGAGGGAATCTTGCATTCGATCGAGAAGGCGACACAATTGGTGCAGGGCACCCCGAGACTAGCAGCATCACATCGGACCTATAGGCGGTGAATGGGGTTAGCGACGACGAAGTACGATGCGACCGAGAGAAAACACACCTTTCGAGCATGACAAGTCTAAATTCCCAAAGAAACACTGTCAGCCATCTCGTCCAGTTCGAAGCTATAGTGGGGGAGTATATGCAGTTCACCGATAAGCAACCGAGCCGAGGTGCGAGAGAACCTCGGCACCCCAGTCGCGTCGCCCCTCGAGAATCCAGAACGTACCTCGCACGCGCGTGATGCACGTTGCCTAGATTAGATAAAACAAATCAGCAAGCGCCTTTAAATGCTTAACTCTGCATAGTCTTTCTCCCAAAGCAACGGGGGTGCGAGGTCCTGGAAAACCCAGTCTCTCTCTGGGTTGCGCCCGCACCCCCGCGACTCCCAGCATCAACCAATATAGCATCTAGAGATTGCACATATCGCAGAAAGCTGTATCGCCATCTCCAGCATCTCCAGTATCTTCCATCATCACATCTTCCAAGACTTACCTTCTAAAACTCAGCGGTTGGCCTTGCGGACCATTGCGCACGGTGATGCCCGACGTCCCCGTCGAGCCCGCGTTACTCGGAGCCGGGCTGGGGTGCGAGTTGTCCGAATGTTGATCGGTGTGAAATTCGGTGGTACTCATAGCGCCGTCTCCATGCAGCATCTCAGATGGAGAGTCGTCGCAGGTAAAGGAGGGAGGTCGGAGGTCGGAGGTCGGAGGGCGGAGGGCGGAGGAAAGGAGCTGGC